CACTCTTTTGTCCAGGGCTTATTGGAATGACGCAAGTCTATTCAGGAAAAGATTATAAAAATCAACTCAAAGCTGCCTGTGTTTGTGGCTGCTAAATATACCTTTATTTCATAAAGATACAACCTATAAAACAAGCAAATTAAAGCTCTTTTTTAAAGTAGTAACTGTGAAGCAGCAGCCCTGGAGAAATGGGGCTTTAGCTCCCAAATCTGGGATTGTTGCCCCCTCCCACGGGGTTGTGGAGCATCTTTGACCCCCAATTCTGTGTCAGCTCTCAGCCAGGATGAGGACTGTGCACAAATTGGAGGGGGGTGATTCTTCAATACACAGAAAAGTGAAGAAAACTCACTGAAATCTGTGGGAAATCCTCACCGAGAGTTTGAGAACACCTTCTACAAGCTGGGGATAATATGACAATATATCCCTGTTAAGTGCAGAAATGCAATTTGTGCTGCAAAGGGAGCAACTCAGAGCAGGCCAGGTTCAAATCTGCAATTTGAGAAATTGCAAATCCGAGTTCAAATCTGCAATTTGAAACATTTCAAATCTGAGTTCAAATCTGCTATTTAAAAAATTGCAAATCCAGGTTCAAATCTGCAATTTGAAACATTTCAAATCCGAGTTCAAATCTGCAATTTGCTCGCACAAGGCTCAGCCCTGGGGCGTTTGTCCTGCCCAGTAATTGCTGCACAAAAGACAGTGAGCAGCTCCCTTGCTCTTCCCTAACTGCCTTCCTGAGTGCTTATTGAAGTCTGATTTCTTACTCCTCTGGGTCATCATTCATCAGCCCCCCAGATCCCACCGGGAGAGCCCGGCCAGACCTCTCCACATCCCTCCTTGCCAGAGGCCATTCCTGGCGGCCCCGTGATATAGAAAATGTCTTCACAGCGACCCGGCGGGACGGGCCGCGGCCATAATACCCAAATAATCATTTGGCAAATTATCATAATTATCAATCAATCATCCCCGTGTGAACAATGTGCTGCTGAAGTATCAGATGGTTCCTGTGACCTGTAGCATTTTGGATATAATAATAAACCCGGGGAGATTTATGGCCCCATCCCGCTCTTCGCATCTGCAGCGGCAAAACGCTCATTGGGTTTTGCTTTTGCTTTAGAGCTCAAAGCTTTCCTTGTACCTGCGTTTCTTGTTTGCTACTTGATGCTTTTTATAAAGGCCAAAATTTCTGGTCACACCCTGAAATATTACACCCAGTTTTCTAAAATTCACTCTATTTTTAAAAATAAATCTGTGTGATTTGTGAGCGCAGAATAACCGTGCTGCTTAAATTGCTTTTACTCCACAGCCTCATCAGCATTATATTTACAGCTTCTAATATTTGGCAATGTAGGAATGAGGCCAGCTAGAGGAGGGGGGGAAAATTGGTTTTGTCTTCAGTTTTTGTTGTGTTTTGCACAATACCAGATTGAATCCAACCCTTTTGAAGCCGATAGCATCTCCCGCTCCCCGTGCAGCACATTCTTGTTAATGGATAAATTCAAGCTCTCCAGAAAGTCAAAGAATAAATTTAAAGCCTTTTGCCAAATGCCTATCCTATTGGATTTTGATAAGACGGCTATTGAGCTTTAATAATGTCTTCTATCCTTTTTCAGCTGGCCCTTAACATGTCTCTTTATTTGTCCCTAAAGCCTCTTCAGCGATGCCTTTTTATTACAAGTCTCTCAGCTTGCTCTCAGGGGAGACAGGGTCGACAAGAGTGATAGATAGATAACTCTATAGATTATCTCCCACAGATGTTTTCTCTCCAGTAGCCCCTCAGGCTATTCCCTCTAAGTAAACAGAAACTAAATAGAGAGTCTACTGAAGAGAGAAGTCCCTGAGGTCCCTTGTCACCACGGTCAGAAAAACAGCCCAGCCTGGGGAGGCTGGCTGGGAGCTCTGCACACACAGAGAATCCTTCCCCAGCATTCTGGAACCCTCATCCAAAGTGACCCTTGGAGGGGGGGGAAATGCGTCGACTTGGGGGAAAAAAAAAGGTGGTGTGTAATGGGCACAGGCTTTGCTTCCTGCTGGAGGAAGTGGAAATCTTTCAGCTCAAAGTTGAAGCAAAATGACAACGGGGACGGTGACAATGACAACAAGGTGTTTGCTCAGTTTATTAAATGCTTGGAAAATTCAGAGAGAGGGGACACTGAACTGCTTTCTAAGCAAAATAAACAGAGTGCAGGGAAATGGGCTGGGAAAAAGACATTTGGGAGCAGGGGACAAAAAACACCCCAGGTATTACTCATATTTTCATCTCTGAGTGTCCTCATTCAGGTCGCTAAAATAACTAAAATAAGTGATTTTCCTGGTTTAATATTGCTTCCAGCACTGATTATTTAAAATTAAAAAAACAAGATGAGGAGCTCGTGTGTATTTGTCAAAGTTAAACTAAATATCAGCTAGCAAAGGTGATACAAGGAAAGCTCGTTAGGTGTACACAACATTTCAATCCATGGAGCAGCACAGATATAAAAAATGATCCTGGATATGGGTCCTTCAATGACATTGAATTAGTCCTGTCAGACAATCACTAACAAAGAAATCAGCTTTGTGGTGTTAGTGGTCCCAGCAGAAATAACAGTAACATGAACTGAAAAATACTGGGTACGGTGAGAAATACTTATTCTATGTGCTCCAAGCCAAAAAACCCCCTGTTTTATTCTACTACAAAACAGGCTCTGCTGTGCTGCAGACTTTCTCCTGCCTTTCATTTCATTAAAGTTATGTAAAAGAGTAGTTTTTTCCTGGGAGCTTAAGAGCAGAGATAGTTCTGGGGCCAGTTTTAAGCAGAGGTTGCTTCATGCATCTCCCTACACCTCTCACTGCCATCACCTTCCCTTCCCTACTTTTTCCTGGTTTTACAGGTTTTTCTCTGCATTTTGGAGGGTTTTTTTCTCTTTCTAGTCCTTATTAGTGCCCAATTCTGAACCTGTGATGCAGCAGTCAAAAGAGCCACTGAAATTATGGTCTCTGCAGCTTCGATTTCCTCCCCTCCCAGTTTAAATCAGGCCACCCACTCCAGTTACATTTGTCTTCAGTCACCTTCTCGCCACCAACTCATCTCTGAAGGAATAGGAATAAATTGAAGTCAAATCTCAACCATTGTGTCTTCAGGGATATGACAACTGAATGATTTAGAGAGGCTGGAAAAGGAAATCTGCTCCCGAGAGGGTTTTGTGCCACTGGAGCCAAATGCCAGAGTGCTACTTCCAAACAATTGAGAGATCCTACAAAAATTGTCCGGAGTGATTTCTCATTCTTTAGTTTTCATTTTCTCCTGACTGAAAAGCTGTCTCACAGTAGTCTTTTCACAAGCCATAAAGTTTAGACTTGAACTCTTTACCTTACTGCTCTGACCTCCTTTACCCCAGCTGTAAAACCCTACTGCCCATCCTTCAATAAATTTATCACCTCATAAACTCCCACTAGTGCTTCTCTACAATGCATTTAAAAGACACAAGTAGAAGGCCAGGCCTTCCCCCCTTGTCAAATATCACAATTGTCCAGTTTTATACCTGCTGCACAGGGAAATATTTAAGGACATGGCATTTTTCAAAGACCTGCAGTTTTTGTAACAATCCCCCTTGAAATAAAAGCACAAAGTTTAAATACAAATCCATGGACTGAACATATAAAACTGCCAGTTTTGTGTTTCCCTGTTTCACACAACTCCTGCTCTCTTTGGGGTACTGCAGGTCCTGGAGGTGGGGATGGAGAATTCATTTGTGATATTGTAATTAAAGACTGAGTAAGAATTAGCCGAGCCATGGAGAATTCCCTCCATCCTTGTGGGGATAATGAGAACTTGCCACCTTGTCACCACGTCTGTCCAGACAAAAGGATCCCACAGAGGCAGGGACAGACACCCCATGAGTTATGGAGGTGCCCAAGGTAAAAAGTTCAGCCCTGTTGCCACAGGTCCCTGGCGAGGTCACGGCATGCTCAAAGGATGTTTCCTCTTGGAAATAAAACCTGATTTTTTATTTTTTAATGTGGTGAGAATAGAACAGGCCATACTGGACATGTGTCTAAATCCCCTTTCCCAGCCTGGCTCTGGAGCCTGGCAAGGATTGTGTTTCACTCTGGCAGAGGAAAGCAAGGGATTCCTTTCAGTTTCAAGAGTGGAGGAGCAGCATGGCCTGAAGGATGAGCAGCAATGTGGCAAGGGCTAGCCTCAGAGATTTCCCACTCCCAAAACCCTCACAAACAGGCCTGTGAACATCCTTTACAAGACAACTGCACATAAAAGGAGTCACAACCAGCTCCTCATTTCAGAGAGGACACACAAGCTGCAGCCATTGAGAAGCTCTAATCAAACCCGACTTGTAAAGCCTTAATCAGCAAAGCTGTTAACCAACAGATCCACATGGAACAAAACCTCATTTCAGTGCCTCTGAGGGCAACCCCAACCCAAACAGCAGCCTGGCTACCCAAACATGTCATGCTGAGGCTGCCTCCCAGCTCCAGTGGAGACATTTGTGCAGCTGGGCTGAGTGTGGAACACATTTTCTTTGGTCACTGCTCCAGTTGGAGCCCCACAATGTGATGAAAAGCACCACTAATGCATCACACGGGCTGAATTTTATTCTTTCACAGACCTATTCCTTCTCCCTTGGACTTCACATAAGCCACATTTGATGCTGAAGTGACCTCCAAAAATTTAGCACTTTTAACAAAGGACCAACATTTTCTTTTACTGGAAAAGAGGTAAATGAGGTTTCTCACTTTGGCCCGGCAGCTGTTTGTGTTGTAGCTGAATCAAGGAACACCTCAAACTATTATTTTCTCTTTCATAATGACTGGAATCACAAAAAGACAGAAAAATATGCCAACAGAACCACAACACTTAATCCAAAAAAACAACAGCAAACACTGGAAAACTTTTACGACGTTGTTGCCATCAACTCCTTGGTCCAAAAGGGAGGGAAAAGTGGCCAGGTGCATTTCCAAGCCAGCGAATAAAACAACTCCCAAAAGATTGAGCCATGTCCTACCTTTTTAATATTGCCCTCTTGGGAGGTCACCTCGGGATCAGTCAGTATTTGCTAAGGAAAAAACAGAATAGAAACAAAATTCAGTTGTGTTGCAACTGAAATGCTGTAAAATAACAGAGATTCATATTGCTGTTGTTATGATGATGATGAGGAGAATTAATAAATATTATATTATTGATAATAATGGCCAAAACTCACAACTACACCCAGGTGTTTGGGGAAGTTTAATGGAGGGTTTTCAGCACAAGTGTAATTTAGATTTTTATATATATATATATAAAACAGCAAGCAAAAAACAAGCAAAAACAACAACAACAACAACAACAAAAAAACAAAACCAAAAACAAGAAGAGAAACATTTTTATTTATTTATTTTACATATTTTTGTTTTGTTGTATACATCCTTGGGAAAGTAAACTGTCTGTGGCACACTGATTAGTGGAATGGGACCACAATTTTTGTCTATTGACTTAAGGAGCTCATCCTGCTGAGTATACTGAATATAACAGTGCAGTGATAATATTTGCATAGTTGAATTATGTGTATTTTAGAAAAAATATTATATATATATATATATATTTAAGGTTTTCTGTCAGTTCTGTGAATTATTCCCTTAGGTTGGGCAGACAAGGATGGGTGTGGGCGCCAAGGGAACAGGTACCCACAGGATTTCCAGGATTGAGTCCCTCTGGAGCAGATCGCGGGATGCTCCGGCCCCCCCCAGGGCTCTTTAATTCCCCCTCCAGCCGAGGTGTGGTGGAACAAGTCATTAAATCGCTGCTGTGCTCCACCTCAGATTAGCTCCAGGTCAGCAGGCATTCGGGGAGGTCAAGTACCTCAAGCCTGGATCCCCCTCCAGGATAAACACACTGGGAACAGACCCGATCCAGTGGCCCCGCTGGGAATTCCAGCAGCTCCCGGGGCTCTGTGGGGATCTGGGGTGGCTGAGGTCAGACAGGCACCCAAGGACAGGGGTAATCGGGGTGCTCAGGGCTCCCAGAGATGGGGAAGGTGATTCGGCTGCCAAAGAGCAGGAAAAACGTCCAAGAGGAGAGATGAATGTGGAAGGAAATGCAGGTTAAAATGAGGAAGGGGAGTTTGGGGAAGTTCAGGGAAGGGAAGTTCAGGGAAGTTCAGGGAAACTCAATGAAGTTCAAGGAAGAGAAGTCAGGGAAGTTCAGGGAAAAAAAGTTCATGGAAGTACAGGGAAGAGAAGTTCAGGGATGTTTAGGGATGAGAGGAGAGGAGTGGAGAGGAGAGGAGAGGAGAGGAGAGGAGAGGAGAGGAGAGGAGAGGAGAGGAGAGGCTCCATTGCATTTTAGCAGCTGAGAGTTGGCACAAAGCTCCGGGCTCCCTTTGGCCATGCCCAGGTGAGATCGACTGATTTACAAATTTCCAACCCGTTGCCAAATCTCCAGCTCAGCTGCACTAACAAGGGGCTGTTTTTCCATGGGAAGAACCCCAAACCATTCCATGCTTTACACCAGCTCTAATGGACGTTGAAACTGCGGTTTCCAAAGTAGCTGAGAGCAAATAGGATCAAGAGGCAAATCCAGAGCCATAAAATTCTGTGTTCCTACCCTGGAACACCCCGTGAATGACTGGAGTTAAAAATCCATCCTGCCTGTCCTAGATGTCACCAAGCTTCCAGGGTATGCTGATTGCTCACCAGCAACTAGCAATCCCCAAAAACTTTGGAGAATTAGGCCATCAAACTTTCAGATCTGAAACAGAAATGCAAAACTACTCCAAAACATCCACGGGAATGAAGCTGCCTCCAAATGAAGATACTTCCCTGTAATTATTATTGCAAAAAGCTTTTGGGTACAATCAGAGAAGTGTGTGCAGCCAGAGTGTGTAATCCACTCGTCCAGCAGCACCATAAACGTGGAGGGGAAAGAAAACTCCAATGAAGTGCAAATTGGGCTGTGGTGGAGCCCTGTATAAACAGGCTTAAGAGTCAGGAATTCCTGAGTCGGAATGGAGATGCCAACACAAGCTTCCTTTTGTTGGTTTGGACAGAGCTGAGCTCAAGGGGCAAGTTCCTCCTGTGAAACATTTTTTTTTTTTCAATTCATAGCAGATCCTGAATTTCAAAGTTCTTAGAGAACAAAATTTCGTTGAAAATATTTCATCCACATTCAAAAATGGTGATTTTGCAGAAAATCCTCTGTAGGATCTTGCTTGTTTGGAATATTGGGAAATGGCTGGGTTTTGATATTTGGTGAAATCCTTTTTGAGTTCCCATCAATTACAGAACTTTTGGGGGAAGAACCCCTCAGTATCACAAAGAATTTTAATTTTTGATGGAACCATCTCCACACTCAAACTATCAGAACATGGACAATTAGTGGTGAACATGCTGGTGGTGCTGCACTGCAGTGATGATCGTAAAGATCTTTTCCAACTTTAACAATTCTGTGATTCTATGGGTGAAAATGCATTTTAGCAGTAGTGTGAGAGCAGGTTTACATTAAATATTTCATCCTTTCTTTACACCTGATTAAAAAAAAATGTCCAAGGTGTTGTTGTGGGCCGAGCTCTACCACAGACCATCTACGTTGGCTTGGACACATCCCAATGTCCTGAATGTCCCATTTTCCCACTCCACCTGAGCAGGTTGGCAGCTTGGAATGGTGTTGGCACCATTCTTGTAGGGTGTCTGTGGAGGAAAAGAGACCAGAATTCCAAAGTTTCCTTTCCCCAGCCACTGCCAGGGCTCCGAATGAGCCTTCAGAAACCTTCCTGGGAGCTGGAGGGAATCTCAGAATTGTCCTGCTGCATTCCCAGTGTGGAATAAACACTGTCTGACAACACCTGTGTGCCCAGACAGCAACCCAACAGCCACACCAATCCCTGGGGCAGAGCCCATCCCGGGATTCCACCATCCATGGCACATGGGAAGGGGGTGATGCAACACCAGCATGTCCACAGCACCTCCTGCTTAGAGGGGAGAGGCAGAACCAGGCAAAGCAAGCCCCAGATGTGATGTTTATTAAGAAGAATAACAAGATACTTCGAAAATCTGCTCATTGGGTAATTTTAGCCCAGGCTGGGCTTCATCTCATGTGAATGCCACGAGACTAAATATAGAGCTGGACGTGTGCAGTGGGCTGCACTCCTGCACTTAGCACAGATGTTCCTGAATGTGCTCAAAATTTACACCACATGCTTTTTCTATCAACTGATCTGTTGATTTTAGCCAGGGGAAAGACAACATGTCAGCAGCAGCCACGTCAGGAGAGCCTGTGCCTTGGGCCTGGGCTGGAGGGGAATTTCTCTGCCTTTCCTTCCCTGGGCTCAGGGAATTGGTGGCACCAGGATCCTGCCTCAGATACACCCGTTAGGGATGTGCTAGAATTTTTACAGAGCCCCCTGAGTGTATACTAAACATGTCAGGGAACACCATGTGATTCTTTTTGAAAAACAGTTTACAAGCTGGCATTCTCCAGCTGCAGTTAACCCTAATTTGATTACATTACTGAGACAGATCACAATGAGCTTATGTAAATAGTAACGTTATCCATTCATTCCCCCAGCTCAGATAAACTGTCATTTAAAGGGGAAAAAAACCCAACCCAAACTTCAATAGGCATGGCTTGATGCATTCAGCAGGGCATGGTGCATTCAGCAAACTCTGAGGATGACAGACTGGAACTTGCCCCTGAAATCTGGATTTTTAAAGGAATATTTCCTCATCTGCTGAGCTGGAATTAGAAGAAAATGCTCAGTAATTGCACAGAAGTCAGGAGGCAGATAACAGCACTACTTTCAATAACTTGGTCCTTATTATGATCTGATTTTTCAGGAAGAGTTGAGTACACCACTGGTGGCACCAGTGATGCTCACAGCTGAGTGAGCACTGCAGGGTTTCACCCACCTGCCCTTGGCATTGGCCCTTCCCCAGCCCTCCTGCCTGGCCAGGGCACTGGGGACATCCCTTCCAGCTGTGCAACCTGGGCTGCGCCACCTGCACCATCTCAGATCTGCCTCAGCACGCAGCTGGTTCACAAAAAGAACCAGAAAACTCTTCTTTTGCCTTAAATCAGCCAAGGATCTGTGGTCCTTACCTCCACACAGGTTCACATGAATGCTTCAGGTGAAAGCAGAGGCTCTGGCCCTGCTGTGCCCAGTTTGTGCTGTTCACAGCTAGGTTCTTGGCAGAATTATTCTGTTTGTCTGGGGTGTGATGGCTGTTGTCTACACAGCCTGCAGAGCAAGCAGCTCCTTCCAGCCAGCTTCTTGTGGCTTTAAAAAATTAAATAATTAAAAAATGTCTCAGGTCATAAAAATCACAGAATGTCCTGAGCTGAAAGGACCCACGAGGGTCACCCCAGCAATCCCAGCCTGTGCCTGGAGCTCTGGCACTCACAGCTGAGCTACTGAGCAACATCCACCCCTGTAACCTGGCAGAGTTCACTCCAGCCCCAAGCAGGACCCAGCTCCTCCAGGACGTGGTTTCTGAGCAGGTTAAACCCTCTGGACAGCACTGGGAGAACCTCTCCTGTCCCACACCTCTCCTCCTCCCTGCTCCTCTCTTCCACCCAGCTCAGGAGACAACGCTGTTATTAAGCTACAAATCTTGCTCTTCATAATTTCCATTAATTATTCCCTTAAAAGTTTTATCCTGCCAACTCCTGAGTGGGCTGGCCCCGGCCCAGTCACGTATTTAAGCAAGAAGTATCAGTGGAATGAACAGAACCAGGAATGTCTCCACACCTAAGTGCTTTTCTGGCCATGGGCCAGGAGCACAAAGCACCTTGTGGGACCCAGCCCAGGCACAGAGCACCAGAACCCACAGCAGGTATTCCATAGGGAAGAGATTCTTTATCATTTTATATCAATTATCATATGATCCAGGCTGGTTTGGGTTGCAAGGGGCTCAAAGAACACTTTTTTCCACTCCTTGCCATGGGCAGGGACAAATTCCACTATCCCTGGGTGCTCCATCCTCCAGCCACAGCTTCTCTGGGCACTCTTTGCCAGGGCCCCAACACCCTCACAGGGAGGAATTCCTTCCCAATTTCCCACCTAAACTTCCCCTCTTGCAG